GGGGGAGGTCCAGGTTGGATATTAGGAAACACTATTTCATTAGGAGGGTGGTGAAACACTGGAATGCGTTACCTAGGGAGGTGGTGGAGTCTCCTTCCTTGGAGGTTTTTAAGCCCGGCTTGACAAAGCCCTGACTGGGATGATTTAGTTGGGAATTGGTCCTGCTTTGAGTAGGGGGTTGGACTAGATGACCTCTTGAGGTCCCTTCCAACCCTGATATTCTATGATTCTATGAACCCACATGTCCCACCTTACATACAAGACCAGCAAGGTCATTCTCAAAATTGCTTTTAAAAAACATTTCCTCAAGATGATCTGACAGATCCAATCTGTCCTGGTGATTGCACTTCAGCGGGCAAATCATCCCACTCGCCTGACAGGTCCTAATGATTTCACGCAGCCATTCCTCAAGCCCACACATCAAACCTGTGACTCTCTCCCTTTTCTGAAGGTTCCCCATCAATTCCTCCTGCAACAGAAATAAAATCTTCCAATAACTGCTGAGGAAATCCCTGAACATTCGAATTGGGGACCCCACCACAAATCCCACTCTTACATTCCCAATGCCTCCCCCGCAACGACAGCCTGAGGGAGCACAGTGTCTCCCTGAATCCCTCCTTTCTACCAGGGCTTGATTAATGTTACTGGAATTACGTCCCCATCAGAAAACTGCCACAACACCTTGCATTTCATAGAGATGTGTTGATTCCTCAAATGCACCCTCAGTGTTGATTTGTCATTATTTGTCAAGTCCAAGAGCCCCTAAGAAAGATTGTTGTTCACTTACTGAGATTAATGCTGCATATTACACTTCTTTTATTATGATAAATCATTTATCAAGCTTTGATTGAAAAGAAAGGGCTTGAGTCATATGATAAATAGCAAATCCTTTGCGAACTTCCCATCAGTTGCCATGAACACAAAAAGCCAGATTGTGAACTCATTTCACCAGCCTCAAATCAAAGCAACTCCAATGAAATCAGTGGGGGTACTCTGAATTTACACTGGTATAACAAAGATCAGAATCTGGACCATAATGTACAACTGATTCAAACAATACACCCTGTATGGATAGTGTTTGGGGAGGATGTTTTGGGATCCTACAGTTGAAATTGTAAAATATCATCATGGGTTTTTTCCTCCAGAGCCTTTTCCCCTCAACCCAACTATGCAATTTATGTGGAAAAATTGTGAGATACCCATTCGCTAGTTTAAAAAACACAATAACGCAGCCATCTCCTTGCTATATTTTGTTAAAATCTCTGAGGCTACAGAATGCTAAAACATGGAAAGAGGTATTATTTAAACCAGCCACTTGCTTTGGCTAGTAAGGGTAACCTATAGAGGAGACATTTCTTCAAGGACAAGCTGGGTAGGGTTGCTACCTGTCCCCCACACTGCACCCAGCCTCAATTTCTGATCACGCTTCTGCATTCCAATCTTTGTAGGACCCCAAAATGAAAGCACCCAAGTTTGGCTAAAAAGCTGGGTGCTCGGTTCTATACACATTTTCTGCCCAATATTTAAAAGAAACTTTTGCCTCCCTATCTGTGCTTAAAATGAATTTGCATAAATCAAAAGTACTCCCTAATTTGCTATATCATAGTCTTCTCGACAGTCTCATTGATGCCTCCTTATTTGGTTGGAATTAGAGTTCAGTTGTGTGTTCAGGGACCACACTGTCCCCTATACAGGTTAATTCAGCCAAAAGGACTGGAAGCACTCACAGAATTTTCCCCACATCATTCCACAGCTCCTACACTCCAAACACTGGC